TAATAATTCTAATAAGTTAGTGTTTATAAGCATCATTTAAAATCTGAGTAGTATAAGGCTGAATAATTTTCCATAAATATATGATGAAAACACATTTCTTTTTGATATATGGGAAACCCATATAGATTTAATTTTTTAATTTTCAAATATTAAGCTATGTGTTTATAAATACCATTGTTGAAATAGCTAATATTCTGCAGAATTTACTGGAATTTACTGTTTTGTGTACCCTGTCTCACTCCAACAATGTGTGTTTATAATTAATGGCTGCCTTATATAGCTATGAGTTTAAACACATCAAGCTACTATTTGAATCTACCAAAGTAACGAAGTATACCATAGTCTACATGCTACATATTTGTCTTTTAACATATACATATGTATATGTATGATAACATATATGTATGATAACAACACTGATATAAGTGGAAATATCAACAAAGTGTTAATTTGTTTTAGAAATCAGATGGTTAGTAAGCAGTAGCTAGGGCACAAAGAAATTCATTAATATAGAATTTTTTTCTTCCCTGTCCTTCTGCCAACCTTATAATGACAAGAAATCCTGTATGCATCATATTAGGAGCTCTTTCTTGGACCTGTCATTCTTTTGATTTCTATTTTGTCTCCATTTCCTCCTTCATTTTACCTTTTTGTTTGCTAATATGTGGTATAATTCATTTCCAAGTAACTTTTCTAAATCAAATTCTGCTTTGTTAAATACAGAACAATCTTGCGTTATACAAATGCTTCCTGATAAAAAGTTTGAAACCAAATTTTCTTTGTTTTAATAAGATTTTAGGTTGTCAATTAATTTATTTCCCAGCAATACTGAGAGTACTTCCATAAGTTTTCTTCAGTTCCTTAATAAATGTACATCCCAAGGAGAGTGTTCTGACTATGTGTTTTCTCTGAGAATATCTTCCTAACTCTCCATCTACTCACAGTATTGACAAATGGAGAAGTTTCTTTGCACATGAATATATGATATGAAAAATTAATGTATACTAAATAGAGCCTCTTATAAAATTAAAATAAGGGAGATTCTTCAGATATAGGCTTTATGTCATATCTGATCATCTGATTTAGTTGCACAGATTTCTTTAGAGAAACAGAAGGCTGGCAGATACAACCACCTTTGGTCTTTTCTTGCATGAGAAATAACTTAAACCAAAATCTGTGAAAGCATGACTTAATGTTTTTTTTCCTTAAGGGACTTTACAGACGTTTTGTGTGAAAAATGTCTTTTAAAGGTTCTTGTGACTAAGTCACTGGATTTGCTTAAATAAGTTAAGACAAGACAGTGAATATTCATATGTGCTGTAGACTTAGGGATTTTTAAATGCTTCTTTATTATCTCTTTGTGGTAAGAAGCTTTTTAAAAAGGTTTCTGAAGGTTTCTAACATGTCTCCCACAAAACCACAGTCCTACTAGAGCAAACCCCACTGCCTGTCAGAGCTACACTATGGACAGCAATGTCTTAACTTGATACCTGTTTCTACTTAGTTTAATTGGAACTTTTCCAACCTAACCACCCTGTTTGGTCTCTAATTCAAGGGTGGCAAGTCATCTCTGTAAAGGTCCAGATAGTAAATATTTTAGGGTTTGTGGGTCACATATGGTCTCTGTTGCATCATATTCTTCTTATTCATCATCTTTTAAGAAAACAACACTTTAAAAATATAAAAAATAATGGTCCATACAAAATTAATGGGTCAGGTCTCAATTCACTGTTATTAGATTACAGGCATGCCCCCAAAGGTGCATTTTGGCAATTGCTCATATAACTGACCAACAATTATTTGGCTAAAGATTAGCAATTAAAAATATGAACACTATCTGTTTTGTTTCTTCTTCATTTACTTATATTTTCATAAAAATAGGTTCTTTTGCTCAATAAAAAGAAACACAAAGACAAGAAGGGAGAGTGAAGGAGGAGGGAAGAGTCAGAAAAGGAAAAGAAAGGGAGCAAGGACAAAAGCAAAAAGATTGGTAAAAGGAAAAAGGAGAGAAGAAAAATGAAAAGGAAAAGGCAAAAGGTAGAGAGAAGGAAAGGAGGGGAAATATATTTTAAAAAATAGAGAGTGAGAGCCAGCATATGGGAGCAAAGGCACAGTCTCCTTCTTTTCCTTAGAGCCAGGCAGCTCTTAGAAGAACCTCCCCAGCTGCTTTCAAACATTGAGGTTGCTGCCCAACCGCTGAACACCATCCCAAGAAGTGAAATGTGGGCTTCACATCTGAAAACTTCCACTTGGTTTTTTACCAAGTGAAATGGAACACGAAATTCAGGGCCTAAGCAAATGGCCTGTGTTTACTTTGGGACACTTGGGCTATGTCTACCCAGGGAAATTTTTGATGTACTGACTGACTAACTCCAGTGCATATGATTAATGTATATGTAAGGTAAACCAGGATTATTCTGAAATTTTTTTTCTACAGCAGGTTTTCAGCTGGAATTATCTGGATGGTTGCCTTAGCTCTCCACTAGGTTTTGCCAGGATAAGCACAGCCAATGTAGTATGCAGGAGACAGGGACCACTCCCTCGCTCCAAGGTTCCCTTCAACACCCACACCCTGTGCAGCTGAGTATAGTGGGATCTGTCCTTCTTGGGACAAATGTAAATTTGGACTTATGAGCCTCTAAGAAGCCCCAGAAGCTCTAAATGTTGCGTTCTATCAAATGGCAAAATATAATAAATGGCTGAATTGGTAGAATGATACTAATGGAACACCTATTCTGTTCCCTACTGCATCTCCAAAAGCAGCTAGCAAAGCCAATGCCCTAGCACATGGATAGCTCGATCAAATTAATTTATATGTGGGTGTGGGTGTGTGCGCACAAACGCATGCACATGTGTGTGGGTAACTTCTTGTATGATTGTGGGCATTTAAGTTGTAATATCTTCTTTAGGTCGGTAAAGCCATGTTTTAAAACATACTTAAAATAAATTTAGACTACATTCTAACACATAGAAATAGTATTGATCTCAGATGTATATTTTATGTGATTGCTGACAAAGTTTGCACAGCACTTTTTGAAATTAGATAATAAGTTGAAATTAATGAGAGATGGAAACTAGTCAAAGTAACTCTTGGTAAATTGTTTTGTAGAGATAATTTCTATGAAATTAACTATTAACTCTTCATTTTCCTGCAGAAACTGTACTCTCATAGATCCCTACAGTAATAGTGTGATGCTGGGGTTTGTATTTGTTTGGTTTTATTTTATTTTGGAGAAAAGGTGAAAAGAAAAATGGGAAAGATGTATGATAGTTTATTTTACTGTATCTTACAGATCCAACTTCTAATGATGAAGCTTCCCACATAACTTCTTTCTTTTTGGAAGCAGAAAGAAAGGAAGAAATTGAAGAGTCAGAGCTGTTACATTGGGATAGTATTTTTCCATTCTATTGAATCTTCCTACCTTTCCTTCTACTCTGTTTCACCAGTTCTCTCAGTAATCATTACAGAATGATAATTTCCCACTTCTACCCTTGTGGTGATTTGTGTTTTGTGTTGTTTTGTTTTTGCAGATTTCACCGCTGATTTTTTCCCTTGAATACGTAATCTCTAAAATAAAATACTTAAAATCCTTAAGAGGTTCCACCCCAACTTTGCAACTGCATTATTCCCTCAGACACAGCCAATGGAACTACTGCATGATAAAGTCCTGAAATGTATTAAGTCAAAACAAAACAGTTTTAATTGGCCAATTCTGTGTGTACCTCTAAATAGTTTCTTGTTTGTGTAGGGTGTATAGAAACTTTTGCTCGTTTTTTAAAATGTTTTCTTACTGGCAAGTGATAGAAATAAAACCCTGGAAATGAGAGACCATCTGTAAAGGAAATTTCTCTTTTCACGTGGCTTCTATGTGACTGTTTGGTGTCCCCACATTATGTATTGAAAGTAGCATCATCTTCAGCACATTTGCAGTGACAAATGTTCCTATGCTTCTGTAAGCATGGCTTCTGCTAGAGGGCACTGTACATTAGACAAGGCCTTATACTCTACTTAGTAAAGACAGCTTTCTGGTGCAGCACCTGTGTCCAAGTCTCCATTTGTTAACACATGTGTGCATTTCCCTTTTGGGAAAATAAGACTTTGGGAAACATGCTGGCATAAAATATTATGCCATGGTATAAACTATTCTAGGTGTAGTGGAATTATTATCTACCATGAAGCAAGTCATGACATATGTACATCACTTTCAAATTTGCTCCACAAAGGAGAGCAAAGACTATTTCTCCATTTATATGCTCCTCCTCATCTATCATTTATTCTACACCATCTCTCACATCGAACTCTATCCTTCCTTCTTTGTAACAATACGCTAAACCCAATTCAACTGGTGAGCACACACCACTTCACCACCTTTGGGGTTGAAAGGCATACTAGAGGACCTCACGTCACAAATGACATATTCTGGAAAACAAGGTGGATGATTCTACAAGCAGCTTTCCACTACTCTAAAGCACAATTCCCTCTCCTGTGGTTAGTATACATAGCTGTCGTATTTGTTGCGCAGTTGGCAAATTGGCTGCTGTATGCACAATTACTATTTAGCAATCAAAACTTAATATTGATAAAAAAAGAAAAAAGGAGGAAAAGCAAAGTAAATTGTAGCAACTTTGCACTTATTATTAGGTACTAATCCTCTTCTCATTGACCCATTGATTGCTTATGCCCTTAGAGTACTAGCATGGAAGGCTGACTTGAGTTAAGGGATTAGGTAAACAAAACTCACACCTAAGTTCTGAAGAAGATGGAATTTATATTAGGCAACTGAACACTGTAAGTAATGATATGGGGGAAAGAAAATAAAGATTTAAGCAGTTGTTTCAAATTTTTCTAATTTTGGAGGAAATTGTCTTTCTGAATATGCAAAGCAAATGTGATGGACTTTATTGAAAGACTGGATCTCTGCACTACTAGATTGCAAACCTGTGCTTTAAAGACTGGCAATGTCTTTGTTTTACTCTTTCTCTCTTTCTGTGATTTATAGCATACATTGAAGATCTCACAAGATGTGTTGAGCAAAGCAGAAGACTTATTATCGTGCTAACTCCAGACTATATTCTCAGACGGGGATGGAGTATTTTCGAACTGGAAAGCAGACTCCATAATATGCTAGTCAGTGGTGAAATCAAAGTGATTTTGATTGAGTGTACAGAGTTAAAAGGAAAGGTGAATTGCCAGGAAGTTGAATCACTAAAACGCAGCATCAAACTTCTGTCCCTGATCAAGTGGAAGGGACCCAAAAGCAGCAAATTAAATTCAAAATTTTGGAAGCACTTAGTATATGAAATGCCTATCAAGAAAAAAGACATGCTATCTCGGTGCCATGTTCTGGATTCTGCAGAACAAGGACTTTTTGGAGAACTTCAGCCTATACCCTCTATTGCTATGACCAGTACCTCAGCCACTCTGACATCACCTCAAGCCGATCTCCCTGATTTCCACCATTCAGATTCAATGCAAATGAGGCATTGTTGCAGAGGTTATAAACACAATATAGCATCCACCACCTTGCCAGTTCCTTCCTTAGCCAACCATCACACTTACTGCAATTTGCCTCTGACACTACTCAATGGACAGCTCCCCCTTAATAATTCCCCCAAGGATATTGAGGAACTTCCTAGGAACAATTCCCTGCTTCCTTTATCATCTAAAGAGCTTAGCTTTACCAGTGATATTTGGTAGTGGAAAAAAACAACAGAATTCCTTTGAACAGTTATATGAGCATACTTAACTTCTGCCATATTAAATACGAAAAACCTAAAAACATTGAGGTGCTGAAAAGTGGAAGATAAAGGCACAAGAATCATTTTTGTACCTAAATAATTTTGTTTACATTTCCAGAATAGTGGGCAGGGTGGGTGGGGGAAAGGACTTGCTTTTGTAGTATGGGACCTTGTTCCAATGTATAGTTTTGATTTTGTCCTGAAAAATTTTAATTCTGTTTTAAAGCAAGTTTTTATGATGCCACATAGACTACAGTTTGGGTGACCTAATTTCCCCCATACCTTTAAAAACTCTAACATTTACATAGTATTTTAACTAACAAAATCTTAAAGACTTAAATAAACTTCTGACCTAAGTTTAAGTGGAAAAGAGAAGATCTATAAAGTAACAACAATCATGAGTTATAAAGGAAAAATGGTTGGGGCACTCCCATCAGAAGATGGCTAGTAAAGAAAAATCAGTTGAAGGAAAAAATGTGATAGAAACATTTAGAACTTCTTCAACATAATGGACAACTTCTTTAGACTAAATCAGCAGCTCATAATCACAGCTTTTATATTTATTTAGGCAAGCAAATCTTCTATAGACAAATTAGTAGGTAGTAGGTAGACAAAATGCATTTTTGAAACAAATGAATAGATAGGTTGTGCATTCTTTTAGGTTGACTTTTCAATTGAGCCTTATGACTTTGTGGCTTATTTCAAAAATTTTACAAGTGAAAAGGAATCTTAAACTGCACATTTGATTGTTTTCTAAGAAATTCACATTGAATATTTTGTTTCAAACAATCTCTTGACCTACTCTAAGCTTTATATGTGAAGAGGTGGGCATTTTCCTACTTGTTTTTCAGCATCATTGGAGTTTGAATTTAAATATGCATTGACTGCAAGTATCAACAAATGAAAAGAAATGATACAACAATATTCACAGATGAAGTGCTAAATGGTTCGAGTTTACTAGCAGTAGCTCAGCACGTGCAGAGATTCTCATCTGCAATTTGTAGTTGTGAAATAGACTACTCTGTAAATACACAGTATCTGCTTGGCAATGTGTTCACAAGGCTTCCACAGAAGTATCCCTAATCCCAGTACTTCAAAGAGTATATTTCATAGACTAAACCTATCTACCCTCATAGAGTGACTGTGACTGCACCACTCCTGAAAATCTCTGTTATAATCTATTTCATATTTGTTGTAAAACCTGTGCCCCCACTGTAGTAGTTATTGTGGAATACTACTTTGTATTATTGCCAGTGAGTCAAATGTGGTGTTCTCTCCACTTAGATACCTGTGAGGGCAATGGATTATCAAATTTGATTTGGACAGTTTGCAAATGGTTCTGAAACCAAGTTCTTGGACCAATATAAACAAGAACAAATGTACACATTATGTAAAAATTAAGAATTTGCCCAACCTGTGTAATTGTGAAACTCAGATGTATAGGTAAGCATTAGATAACATGTTTTGATTATTTCATTTACCCTCTTTTCTATTTCCTGTGATCCATGAGTTTTGTCCAAAATATGTGTATTTCTGTTGAATATCCATACCCAGCTGTTACAAAAATGCATTATACACCAACAATGTGAAAAATTTTAGCAGTGATAAATGTTTATTTTATAGTGGGATAATTAGTTGCTCCTTTAAAAAGTCCTGTTCAACACATGTAATATTTCATAGATGTACTTTTTCCACTGAGAAAGGGGATTTTGCTTCTGTAAAACCTATAGGTATTTCAAGATGAAAATTTATCAATTTTGAACTGCTTTCCAAATGTTATAAAGTTGTACTTATTCTGGTTGTTCTTAAATGCTGTGTGTAATTACTAAATTAATAATCTGCATGAACTGGGTAGTATATGTTTAAGTGGGCAATTGTATATTTTACCATTTTATTTTTTCATAGAAATCTGGATTCATTCAAATAGAATGTTCAGTCGTATTTTTAAACTAATAGTTCTGTATTGAGCATGCCAGTTCTGAAAATATAACATGGGTCTCTCTGCTTCCTTTATTTACAATGATTAAACGTGGGTAGCAATTTGAGTTGGCTGGCCACAATGTGTCCTTTCACTGCTAGTAGGTACTCAAAAACAGAGCATTCACACTTGTGCTGGGGAACTTGACAAGAAACCTTTTCTACCATTTTCAGGAACTAATGTGTACACTATCTATAAAATTTATTTCTAGATGGCAATTTAAAATTTAATTTTCATCAGAGATTTTTAAAAGTAAGAGCCCAAATGAATATCATGAGTATTTAGTCTAGAACATAATGTATACTAACAGTTGCTTTCATGGTGGGATTTTTTAATCTTTACACAGAAATGAATTTTTGGAAATCTAAAAAAAACCTTGTTACAGTTAGTTCACATACATTCATAGAAAGTTTATTGTTACATAACTGCATGTAAGCATGCATTTTAAAAGTGATTTTTTAAGATGAAACATTCTGAAAATATAAAAATTGATGGTGCAAGCAAGTACTGGTGACTCCCACACTAACCAATCAGGACGCTGAGATCTCAGGATTTCAGTTCAAAACCAGCCCAGGCAGCAAAGACCAGGAGACTCTTATTTCCAATAAACTAACAAAAAGCCAGAAGTGGAGGTGTGGCTCAGATGTTAGAGTACCAACCTTGATGACAAAATCCAAGTGAGATTGTGAGGCCCTCAGTTCAAGCCACAGTATAGGCACGTGTGCACACACGCACACACACACACACACACACACACACACACACACACACACAAATGGTGCAAATAATAACTGCTCAAAAGCAATAGGTGTGTAGGAAATGTAAATTGCATTGAGGAAAAAAAGGAATGCTTAGAGAAAGTATGGCCTCCAATCTTCTAATCTAACCTGGATAATTCCTGAAAAGAAGTTACCACTCCTCAGTAGGTATTTTGGTTGATGATGAATGATTACATTCTGAGGCTAAAAAGAAGAAATAGAATGCAATGACTGGTATCAACAGAGTTCAGTTATGAAAGAGTAAGTTTATAAAGAAGTTCAAAAGGAGATGGAAATGAATAATATCCTAAGGATTAATTTTGCAATATGTTGGAAAATGGCAAGCATGAGAAAGAAGAAAATTCTGGCAAGAAAAGAACAAGACTTCTTGACCCATGCGGTATTTGTAGGGCTTACAAAAGTATGGAACCACGGGTTTAAAACCTTTACTGTCTTTTGGCATTTTATTTTTAAATAAATTTGCTCTTACCAAGTGTTTTCTAGAAAATTAATGACCAAGGGAAATACCATGAAAACTGTACATATAAATCTTTACACTCCTTATATTCATTTTCCAAGGTGAGGTACTAAACTGATAAAGCAGACCAAAGTTAAAACAAAAATAGTTCCACAGTAATCAGTTAAGTTTGAATACTTGCAATTGTTGTTGTTCTTTTATGGGAGAAAATTTAATAGTGGAAATTGGCTCCAATTTCTCTATTACTCATGCATTTTTGTTCTAAGATATCTGATAGGAGGTCATAGTTTCTGATGAATGTATGGAGCAATGTGATAAACAATAATCATTCACTTTAAAATCTTTTGTATCAAACTTCCCTATTTTCTAGAAATGAAATTAGCCACAAACAATTTAAGATTATTTAGCATTCCAGTTAATTACTGGGTAATCAGTAAAATTACCTATACCCATCCAAATATGTTATGCTGAATGCTCATTGCTGTTTTCTCAACTGCATTTTCTCCAGACGATACCAAAGTCAATTATGAGTATTTTTTAAGTTCAAAATTTGTACTGGCCAGTACATAAATTATAACAGAAAAATAGTTTAAAATCCTGTTTTTCAATAGCTCACACATCATATGAAGAAAGGAGTATTTGTAAAACATATTCCAGTATAGGAAAATTAATATGTATATGCAGAGTAATAAGTTTAATGGGGCAATTCAGTGTTGACTTGGAGAGTAGATAAGTTTAAAACAGAGGAAAACAGTAGTGATGGTGAATGGAAATTTCCCAGGTATAGAGAATGCACATGGGAAAACTGAGGGAAGAATGAGAACTTTTTATTTACAGCAAACATGTTTGGCTGGAAAAAACCCAGAAATCTGTGTGAGGATATAATAAGAAATAAGGTTTAGTAAAGTGTTGGCTCATTCAACTGAAAGCAGGTGCAGGAAGAAATTAGGTAGGGAGAGAAAATGAAGAAAGAGTGACCAGCTAATATACTGTTGTCATAGTCCAAGTGTGAGATGATGAGGGATAGAGCAAGGGGACGACTGATCCTCTCCAAAAAAGACAGATCAGAAGAGGAAAAGCAATAGGCAGTATGTTATAGTATTAAAGAAAATAAAAAAGGCTGGGCACCAGTGGCTCATGCCTTGTAATCCTAGTACTCTGAGATATGAGGATCGCAATTTAAAGCCAGGCCAAGAAGGAAAATCCATGATACTACTCAGAAAAAGCTGGAAGTGGCGCTGTGGCTCAAGTGGTAGATCACTCCTCTTGAGCAAAAAGAAGCTCAGGGACCATGCTCAAGCCCAGAGTTCAAGCCCCAGGACTAGAAGGGGGCTGGGAAGTAAAATGGGAAAAAGTGTTAATGAAGGCTTCAAGGATACAAAAATCAGTTGTAGCAAAGGAATTATTTCTGGGCTGTTTATCTCTCTACTGGATATCTGAACATTATTAGAACAAGAAAAGAGAAGACAGATACTTGGTGAAATTGGTACTTAAGCACCTTGGGAATTGTTTAGGGGAAAGAAATGGTCAGGAGAAGCAAGATGCTTCTGCAAAAATGGCTTAGAAATAAATGAGTTTTGCTGCACTGATTGTAATCCCAAATTCACAAAGGACAAAGATTTTAGGTGCCATCTTCTGATTCACATCACATTAGAACAAATAATTATTATCTTGAAATGAAACAATGAAGTGACTGAATCTCAGAGAAACAAGCTCCAGGAGGCAGATATTGGTCTTAAGTATAACCAGATATAAAATAAACTGGACAAGGTTCCCAAACAGCAACAAAGTTGTTGAAGTGTGTTACAGGGGTCGGAAGAAGTGCAGAGAGTAGTCCTGTGAAGAGGAAGGAAAAGAATTAGTAATTTAGTAAGGGAACCTAATTTTCACCCAAACTGAAAGTGATTAGTGGATTACCATGCTTTAAATTATGAAGGACTTTTTTTTTCTTTAAATTTTTTAAATTTAATTTTATTGTCAAGGTGACGTACGGAGAGGTTACAGTACAGTTACATATGTAAGCTACTGAATATATTTAT